TTTCGACCGGACACCCTGCACTCAAACCGGAGTCCAAGGGCAGACTACGCCAAAGCCGGGGAGCTCCATTTCGAAATCTCTGATCAGGATGCTCAGGGTGGGATTCTTCAGGGGCGGCGGCGGTACACCGGCCTCAGTGCTTGGTCGAAGCTTTCCTCTTGCAACAGTGACGACGCAAGTCGCGGGGTGCGTAACATTGCGGAAAGGTATACGTCACTCCTACAGCCAAGAGTTGTCTTCGAGACTAGAGCATATGCGAACGAGACGTGTCAGGGCTCAGCCGCAGCAGATACCAGGCCAGGCACGTCGCCCAAGATGCAGTTGATGCCCTGGACGACATGGGGCCAAACCTCGAAAGCGACTGTGATCAGCACCGACTCCAAGTACTTTTGCATACGGGCGGCACGGCACCTTTCGGCACCCGGGGAACCGATGCAGCCAGTCAGCATCATAGCAAATGCATCTGAATACTAGCTGTTGAACTCTGGAGGGCCACCTGTGTGCGGCTGGCTGCTGGCTCCGGATGGATTGGCCTCAGTCGGGTGGCCACGTCTCCCAATGAGAAGCCGCAGGAAAAAAACGCGAAGACACATGCAGAATTCATCAGTCACGGTGCATCCAGCGCGCGCCAGACAAAACGACACACAAGTCATGGGAGGATACGCACGAACACGTTAGGGTGTGGGAGGCAACTGCACTTCAGTGAATGTGATCGGGGAGCAACACATGGTAAGATAAATGTGAGTAGCCAACGATGTGTTGCTAATATCGACAACAAAATCTTGCAGTAATTATTCGAAGCGGCGCACGAATTGCCAATGACGCTTTGTTGGGAGTTCTGATTGCTGGTGCACGTCAACAGCGGCTTGCTTGCGTCTTGAAATCTACAGTGCCTGCGGATCATGCCGCTATGAGATTCGTAACCATTTCGACAAGTTCGAGGTGGCAGGTGGGTAGTGCTGAGTGCTGCACTTGAAGAAACTTCACACCTAACGCTTCGCCTTGACGGACCGCGATGTGGTTTGAAGCGCGCCTCTACGCAATGACGCACAGCTTTACATATCAGATTGTCTACGCGACAAGTGGGGTGAACTTGATATGCTAATGCACCCATGGCGACATTGAGGTGTAACTTAAAACCGTCTGAAGTCGTCGGACTTGCCAAGGGCTGGGCGGCTGTGGGATGGCATACGAGGTCTGGTACGTCCGCACGACCTGCAGCTGTGACAAGCAATTTGGCGAAGGGCTCGAAGGGTGATACAAAGGGAATCAATTGCAAGGATTCCAGGTGGCCGGATTTGACTGTGGTTGGCCCTGGCCCTACAGTGCCCCTTCAGGCTGATGTCACGGGAATCCCTCCAAACATGTAGACGTTTCCACAGGCGGCCGTAGGCGGCAAAGTGAAATCAAGAAAAGGCTACTATAGTAGGGCCGGTCCAGGACGACTCGAACCACGAAAAGGAACACACCACCAAAGCTCATCAGAAACCCCAAGTTAACATGACCAAACTTCGGACCCCACCAACCCATTCCGAGCCCACTACTTGGAGGTTCATGGGTAGTTATAAGTGGGGCTATAAGTCCCCTAATTGGGTTATTATAACTATAGTTACCCCACTTATAACTACCCATGAACCTCCAAGTAGACCAACCAGGTTTTTCCCGGCGCAAGCCGGCCAGCATGCAGCTCCAACGGGCTCGTAGGCAGCGCTTCTGCGCAAAATGTCAAAAAGACGGAACTCC